TGCTAATATGTCTTCATGTAACATAGAAAGTCTAATGAAGGATTTGATACATATTCAAAGAATAATCTAACATTATTAGTTATTTTCTCCAACCAGATAGTTTGTAAGTAATTATCATAACAAATATTTTGACGTATTATATTTTAAGTTGATCCTTGTGTTTTCCTCGATATAAAAATGTTTTTTTGGGTACATGTGCACTCATATATGTTTCATTGCACCAACATAATTTTTGTTATATAATTTATGAGTAAACAATTATATTTTAAATAAATAAATTATTAAATTATCATATATCTTAAAAAAAGGATAATATTTTAGATTATATTTGATCTCAGGAGAAATAATATTATTTAAAATGTTAAATTAAAATAGCTTGAAATTATCTTTAATTAATATTGAAATTGTTCAACTTTTACTTTTAAGCGCTTATTTCATAATAAAATTAATATAAATACTATGCGTTACTCTTCAATAGTCCACTTTTGAATCTTTAGTAAGATCTTTAATCTTCGTCATGTTATATAATTTCAGAAAAACAGAAGATTTTTTTCTATAATTTTCATAACACTGTGCTGAGTGACCTCGATTTTTTTCTGCTACATTTTTGTCATTGAAAACTTGACGTTGTACATGATTTTTTAGTCAAAAAACAAATAAGAGCATTTGCTAGCTCAAATTCCTGACTTGAGTCACTTTCAAAATTTGAAAATGAACTCATTATTTATCACATACAATGGAAATTTATATTTATATTTTTGAGTGTCTAGATTGATGTTTTCAAATCAATGTAAATAAATATAGATGGCATAACGAAACTAAATACAAATGAAGCAATGAAATATTCAAACATCATGATACTTGGAGAGAAATAATGTGCATGTGTAATCTATAATAATTTATATATGCTAATTCATTATACGTCAAGCATTATCCCTAACATAAAGAGAAAAAGAAAATAAGCCATTAAATAACAATTGAAGCCTCATGTCAATTTAAGAAGGTAACTTCCATGAAAATAAACGTAAAACATACTATTATATCAAACTAGCACTCAATCATAAAGAGAAAATAAAAATCTCAAATAGATAATAACATCAATAAAATCACATCTTACACGGAAAAGTAGGTAGGTAGTGCAGCGTATGGTGTCCCATGAAATTCTTCGAATGCATGTGTAACATGTAATACAAATCAGCCACAAATCACCGTACACCATAGAACAAAGAAAATGAATTAAATGGAAAACTGGAGCTAACTCTTTCACTGCAGAAATTAGAACTTCATTGCCAAAATAAATAAATCACAAACCAACTTATGATACCGAATCAATAATTAATAGTGAAGCATCAGGCGAGAGTTAAATAATCTAAAATTAAAGAATATAAAAAATAGAATAAAAATATTTTTAAAAATTCATAAACTATAAGATCTGAAAATGTATAGTGAAATCTTAAAATTATAAGATTTTAGTAGGATAAAAAATTTCAGAAGCAAAATGAAAGTGTTTTAAGGTTTTTCAGGGAAGGAAAAAATTCAAACTAATAAACTAATTTATAAATGCTAATGAAATTAAAGAAAGCTAACTATTTGATAAATATATCATAGACCAATAACTCAAATACAAATAATAACAATGAATTTTATATTTTATCAGGAGGGTTCTTAATAGCACCTTATTAACCGGATTGACGTTTAAATGTGTGGATTTTACTTAAATTCAGATAAACACTTAAAGTAAGGGAGCTAAGCTGAATCCCATTTTCCTCTCCGTTTCAACTGTAATTTGGATTTAGTAACTAAGAGGTGGACATAATAGATTTAATGAGAATGACTCATCGCTTTCTTTGTCACCTCATTTGTCACCAAAAATGTCTATCGAATTTACTTGGATTTAATAAAAATTGGACCCAAAACAATTTTGAATTTAAAAGCATATAAATTTAGAAATCCTGTTTTATCAGATTCACTAAGCCTATTTAATGTAAATCTTTGAAATAACTGAACACCCTCTAAGAGAAACAAATCATTTTAAAGTAAGAATGCATATATTCCCTCTACTTTCAGGCATATAAAGAAATAATTTCATTCATATTGAATTTTTTGAAACTTTTATTAAATCTTAGAATAGCTCACACCATCTCGATCTTCTTATCAAATTCCAAAAATTCATACATTGAGTCCATATTCAGATGATGTAGATGAAGATTCAAATGACATGCACATTTTATTGTCCATTCTTTCAGCCGTTTTTTAGATCTTTCATTTAATACTTATAGTGTACTTGTAAAAACATTTGAAATATTTCTTTTCTGAGCACGTTTTGAATGCAACTTTCTTTTAACTATATTATCCAATATTCCTTTTTATCTATGAATCTTTATTTCATTTACATCAGTTTCTTTTTTAGTGTTTGAAGTGATTTTGGTTGATAAGTGTTGAAGGTTGTAAGCTGCAGTAGTGTCACCATAAACTAAACATAGAGTCATACAGGCATCTCTTTTTTGCTTCAACATCTATATATAAAAATTTATTGATACTGAATAAGAGACCAGAGAAAGTGAATAAAGTTTGTAGATAGATTCGTTTATAAGTTGAGGGTACAACACTCGAGGGAAGTAGCCTTCAGAACATGCTAAAATGACAAGTATTTCACAAGTTATTACAAGTACATTGCAAGTTTTAAACAAAAATAAAAAAAATGTTGATATGATGGAAACAAAAAATGTATATTTCATATGAATCTTCATCTAAATCATTATTTATTCAATGCATGAATTTTTAAAATTTGATTGAAAATATGGATGATATGAGCTATTCCATAATTTTATAAAAGTTTTAAGATGTTTCAATATGGATGAAAATGTTTCTTTATATGTCTAAAAAAAGAAGAGGTAGATTTTTACTTCAAATTATTTGCTTCTATTGATGAATTTATAAGTCATTATTATTATTTGCATTTTTTGTGTGTTAGCCTATGATATATTTGTCAGATACTTAGCTTCAATTTCATTTGTCTCTGTAGACCAGTTTATTGGTTTAGATTTTTTCCTTTCTTTAAAGAAGCTTAAAATATTATGATTTTGTCTTTGAATATTTTTTGCTTCATCAAAATCTTAGTTTTTTATAATTTGACTTATTTTAATCATGTAGTTTCTGAGTACTTATTTATGTATTTGGTTCTAGTTTATGTCAGTTTTAACTTTATAGTATTTCTTTACTCTCTGTATGCTTAACTGTTAATTAGTTGTTTGGTGTCATAAGGCGGCTTGTAATTTTTTTACTTTGGCTATGAAGTTCTAATTTTTGTAATGAAAGGGTTAGTTCCTGCAATCCATTTAATTCCTTTTCATTGTTGTATATTATAACTCTAATTCCATACATAAAATTAAGATATCATTTGCAATATTATCAAGACGACACTCAACCTCACAGGCAAGAATTACTCTTCAATCTTGACATTTTTCTTAAGAAATAATATTGAATGATGTTTTGGAGTTCTAAAAATAAGATTTTCAAATGGTGAATAAAATATTTCTTTATGATTTATGGACATAATGATATATTGCACACTATATAATTTTGTAAAATTACAATTTAGAGGAGGTATACTATTTAAGATGTCTGAAAATGACAATTTTATTGTTGATATTGAAAGATTTACATCAACCGATATAACACAAAGTGTGACTAGGGTTAGTATGGCTCGATTCCAATTGTACTATATGACTCTTTTCTGATCATGTTGCAAGGAACTTTAAAGTAACACACATAATTGAGTTTATTTATTTGGAGATTGAGATTTTTCAAACAGTTATACTCATGTAGTGTTAGACTATTAGTGATTGTATGAAATGCTCATTTTTTATGAAGTATTATATATTAACATTTTTGTGTATACTCGTATTATTTTGTTTAAATATTTTAAATTGTTGGCCCTATTTTCGAAATGGTGTGTAAGATTATATTTAATGATTTATTAAAGAGTAATTGAACTATAACATCTTAATAACGGAAAAGAATTTTGCTTAGTTATATATCTTGTAAAATGTGACCAATATTTTTAAACAATTCTATATAATGATATATAAATAATTTGAAAAATTAACAAGTATATTATAAATTGAACAAAATATTAAAATAAAACATGTTTTTATTTTTAATTTTTAACAACAAAAAACTCATAAATATCTTACATTTTTTATATTTGTTATTTTTTAAAATAGAAAATATTTACTTTTTATTTTTGATGATAACAAATTCATGATTGATGGACCTACTACTTTCTTATAGTGCAATTTCAGGATGATATGATTATTTATATCAAGAGAGCCTGGATCTCAAGATGATCGAAATATAATCAATTATCTAAAAATTAAAGTTCGATATGATCAAATTAGGGTTATGATTTTTGTTTAACTAATTATATTAATTAGATGATGATGCACAATTGCATATTTATTTTAAAATTACAAAGCCTGAATACCAACGGTGGATTTGCAATTGTGCATGTATCAATTAATATTAGAAGAATAGATTAGTTGCCTTGCCAGTTTTTTTTTTTTAATTCCAATGTACACATTTTAAAAATTCAAATCAGTTTCTTAAAATCCACGTACCAGGTATTATGAAAAGGTTGGTAACTTAATTCATTTCTTTTCTTATCATGTTCAAAAAGCATGCAAACTGTAATTATTTCTATTTTTCTTTCGTTAACGAATATCAACATAGCATATAATCGATGTTAAATAAATTGATTCAAACGTAAGAGTACCAGTTATTTTTATTGTCAAATTAAAAATAAAAGAAAAATAAAACAAATTGAAAACAAGTCGAAAAATAAAATATAAAAAGTGATTCCAAAAGCCTCCTAAAAGAACGCAGCTAAGAAAATTTCAGTTCACTTTATTAGTTTCACTTCAGGAGAAGAATGGAAGCTGTGTTGTGTTTCATTACGTGATAATAACACCAGAATAGCTTTCTTTGATCTTTCACTGCAGTGTTCCTCATCTGAAGACCGTCAGTCAATTGCTATCAAACTTGGAGAGCTCTCAGCTTAAATATGTTTTCCCCGCTCATCAACTTGCAGAGGATCTCAAAGAAACAGCTGCAGTAGATGTGGATGAAAATATGTAATTCTGATATTGCTTCCTCGGTAATACATACATATATATATATATATATATATACATACATACATATATATATATATA